AATGTACTCTTTCAGTTCCAGAGATAGTTAGTAGCCAAACGCCAGGCTTCCTTGTTCTTTCGCAGAAGGAACTCCCAGCCCTCTCCACTTTGCCTGCTTATCCAAGATGGGGTTAGCTGCTGAACCTCTATCGCTGAACATGCAAGCCTAACTCAAAAGCATGGCTTCTCTCTATCTTCTCCAACTCTCTTTTCTGGGCAGCTGCCAAGATTTTCAGCTTAACTTCCCCCACTGATTTTCTTTTGAACTCTTAACAAGTTTTTTCTCAAACTTCCTTCTGAATCTTTTCTTAAATTTTCTTATTAATGTGACTAAGAACCCAGAGAACCACAATTTCCTTGGTAACATATGGCAACCCAGATAGGATTTCCTAAACTTTCTGATAATTCTAATTCTGGTAGTTTCTAATTGTTGCCAGCTCTTTTATATGTATTTATGCCTCTTCTATTATATAAATCTTCTGGTAAATTTCTGAAGCAGTGTATAAAGACAGGAGGTAGAAAGAGATTGGAGTCTGACCTCAACAGATAAAACTGTTCATTTTAAACAAGAAAGGACAGCACTCTTGATGTTGGATTCCATTCTGTATGCTGTGAATACCACTGGTGAATAAAGAAACTGCTTTGACCTATGATAAGGCAGAACTTAGGTAGGTGGGGAGCACTAAATTGAATGCTGGGAGAAAGAAGGGCAGAGTCAGAGAGAAGTCATGTAGCCCTGCCAGATACAGATGCTGGAACTTTACCCAGTAAACCACAGCTTTGTGAAGATACACAGATTACTAGAAATAGGTTAAATTAATATGTAAGATTTAGCCAATAAGAAGCTAGAGCAAGTGGGCCAAGCAGTGTTTTAATTAATACAGTTTCTGTGTGGTTATTTTGGGAGTCTAGGCAGCCAGGAACCAACAAACAGCCTCCTCTCCTTACAACAAATTAGTGCCAACATGGTTGACTAAAATCTACTTAGAACCCAAGAAAGTTTTAAAAGGAATCCTAGACACAAAATAATAGAGTTAAGCATGGTTTGGTAGCAGCATTTTCTTGGGTGGGCTCTGTTTGCTAGAAGCAAGCAGAGACATGGTTCCTGTAAGAGAGGTTTTCCTGATTCAATGGTAGCAGAAAAAAAAGCTGCCATTTTGAAATGTTGGCTTTCTGGGCTGTGCTGCCAGCATGAACTCTGACTTTTTCTGGAGGTCCAGCTATGGAGCATTTAAATGGGGTTTGTGAACAGAGTGTTACAACTTGCTTAATGGCAAAGTAGACTAGCTGTTTGCCTAAAAATGGGGCTATGAGCACAGCTCTCAGAGGCAGTGAACAGCTCTGCCGTGCTGGACTGGGTGGGGCAAGCAGGCAGTGCCGTATTTTCCCTAGCAATGGTGCTGCTTAAGTTCAGAAGAAGGGCTTAGCATTTTAAGAAGCACTTCTGGTCAGAAAATAATTACAGATATGCAATAAATACAAATCCAGATAAAAAATACCTCTAAATGGGTCACATTGTTGGATAAATGTATGTAGGCTTAGGAGAGAGAAGAAAAAACTATAGACAGTTATAAAAATAAGTAAATGGTTTAAGGTAAAGTCTTTAAAGAGACAGAGTACAGACAGTCATAAATTAAAATGAGTAAAGAAAAACAAGCCATGTAAAGATGGAAAATTCATAGAGAGTCTGGATTATGTCTATTATTGTGTTTTATTCAAATTTTTGACTGCAGAGAGACATTTGATTCTGAGATTGCTAAGCTAAACCAACGTATATACTTTAAAGATATCTTGATTTCAAAATATGGATCTAAGGATATGTTACTTTGGAAAAGAGGTTCTTCTTTTGTTTCCACAGAGGATGAGAACCTGTGATTGCTTCCAGACTAATATAGTTTGATGGACCAAGACCACCTGAAAGGTTGCTGTGAATACCCCCCTCCCCCCAATTACTTTGCCTAACAAAAATCAGGAAGCAGTTTGGAGAGAGCTACACCCAAATTCCTTAAATAATTGTTTATAAGTGTTTGTTTACATTTAAAGGGGGATATGATATAGAGATCAATACTTTGCATTGGTATGGATCTTAGCTTATTGATACAAATTTAAGGACAATTTTGTTATATGTTTATTTCTGCTCTTGATTAAGGTATTGTGTTTGTACAGCTCATTTAAAAATGTAATGTATAATTAAGAAATGTGTTAATAGATAATCATCTATAATAGTCAAACCTGTTAGTTAGATTTTCTAGATGTACAGGGATGTATTTCAGATGGATAGGTATTCTTCAAACCTTTCAAAGACTACAGAATATTGTATTTAAATGTTAAAAACTTAGGACTTTTCATGACAATGAGACACATCTGCTCCTGGAAGCACTAATTTAAGAGGATGATGGCCATCAAAGAGGCTCCTCATGGAGTTTGTTAGCCAACTGGGCAAGAAACTGCTCTTGTCTGGTCTACTTCATGGTATGCTGCAAAAATTGGACTTGCAGGACCCACAGAGAAATGACTGCTGAACTTGCCTAAAGAAGACGTGGTCCTTCAGGGTTCCTGCTACACATAAGAGTCTGCCAGACATTCTGCAGGACACAGAAAAAAGTGGCTGAAAACTGCCAATATAGGCAGAACTGTCTTTGAAATTTCCAGCTTCATGGAAAAATTTGCTGCATACTGTGGGCCTGTAGGTTGAAGATGGATGCCCCAATGTTACAGAAGAACTTTGGGTGATTGTCCAGGCAGTGAGATGTCTCTGTCAATTCTAGAGTTTTGGAAGTTGCTTACCATGCACTTCCTGCTTACTTAGGTAATATTATATCCTTCTGGAGTCTTTTATGGAGCTGAAGAATTTACAGTTTAGTTATCAAATAGTTTATAGTTATAGTCTATTGCCTTCTAGATTGCAAAGAGCAGGAGGACACTCTGAGGTTCCTCAGATTAAAATTCTGGGTGCTGTGAAGCTTTCCCAAGCCTGTGTTCACGTGTTCCCAAGTTGTATGATGATAAGCCACCCTACGCTCGGAGAGTTCCACATGACCTAACAATGTGAACTCCAGACCATGCCTTAGAATAAATAATTAGAAAATATTGGACACTGGTTCTCTAAGAAGTACGTTTGGCAACAGGGGTGAGGGTATTCTTAAGAGGCAGTTGTGCCTGTTTCCTTGGCTATCAGTAATTGGAATTTTTCCAGAAAGCTCAAACTGGAAAAAAAAAAGTGAAAGCCTGGTGCCAGGCAGAGAAGTAACTTGTTTCCAAGAAAAGAGGTTTCACACATCAGGCCACCTTCAGGAGACAGCTGACAGGTCAATTATGGGCAAAGACTACCAGGATGGGACTGCTTAGTGATGAACCCCTCTTGGCCTCTGCTAAAACCCAACATCATGTCAGGACCGAGAAGATGGACGTGGTGGTGGGGGATCACTGGACTTCTTTGTCCCTTACCCCAACATGGCCAAGTTGATGAACTCTCCTTTTTCTGTTTTCAGTGTTGCTTATCTAATTGGCATACTGAGGACAGGTGTCTAAGCCTAGCTCATCACGGCTGCCAGGGTCCAGGAACTGGTTCTGACAATTCTGGTCACAAGCTCCTTAAATAGAGCTCACAGATTTTTAGTCAATGATTCATGATTTTCCATTAAAATGGATTGTGTCATATGCACATAGAAATATTTTTTCCTTTCTCAAATCAGCCCAGGTACCCCTATCTTTATGGTTTAATGCCTCTGGATAGAGCCTGCATGGCAGTGTAGTATGATCAGGGCACAGCCATTAGTTTTTGACTAAGGAGCATGTGGCTGCCTGTGGGTGCTATCATTTCAAGGCATCTCCCTCTATTCCCGTTTTGGTGTCAGTTTTAAAAATGCAAACGTGTTGGTTTGGTCTCATACTTTTTTTTTTGTCTATTGAAACGATCTATATCACTTTGACCTTCATCCTATCATACGAAATGATGTTGAAATGAATCCATTTTTTTCTTCCCAGAGTCAATCTTACTTTGTAAATCCATGCTTCAAATTGTTATACGTCTTCTTGAATGACTGAGTCTTTCGTTTCCCTAGGATACCTTCTCTACTTCCAGCAATGTTTGTTACATCGAAGCCTCCTTAGGGGTGATTTGTAAAATGAACCCACTTTTCTGCCTGGGCAGTTAGTGTGCTATCTCCTCTTTGACTCTGTTATTTCTATCTTCTGTCTTAAAGAATTCCCATTTGTAAATGAAGTCAGAGGGTGGCTCTGTAAGATGCACTTGATATGGCAAGAATGGTAACATGGTAAGACGCAGCGTGACACACACTAAGGCCATAAGCACAGACTGTTATACCATCCTCGCTTCTGTTATCATTAGGAAAATACGTATTAAATCTATAGGAAATTTTGGCTTTTTCGAAGTTTTTCTTCTTATCTGTCTTATTTACTGTTCTATACACTTCATGGAATGGATACAATTGGTCACTTTCAGATAAAGAACCTTTGACAAAACCCACTCTGAACTCCGTAGACAGTCCATGCCAATGGTTCTTTTGTACAGATAGACCATGATAACAAAATGGTTAACTACAGGTTTGGGCATTTCACAACTGGGTTTGCAGACACACTCATCCAACTTCTTATTTGGTTTCTTTCCTTTGCAGAAACTGTCTGTGAAGTGTATAAAGAGAGGGAGCCCTGTTTCTTTCATTTATAACTGGCCAAGAAATCCAGCGTTCATTAGCTTCTTGGTCCTTGCCTTGCCTCCGCCTCCTTTGTCTATGAAGACAGTCCGATAGGTTTTCCAGGACAGTCCTATTTCCTCCTCATGGCTTGGCATACATATTAACAGCCCTTCCTCTTCCAAAGAGAGCCTTGGTTTGGATGCTAACTGCATTTTTAGCAATTTGTCATTTCCAACTTGCAAAGGGTGTCATGTTGCAGGTGCCCACTAGGTGTCAGTAGCGTAGCCTGCGAAGAATCTTCAGAGCAAGCATTTCATTACAAAAGTCAAATCAAAGCAAATAATTAGGAGTGGTTCAAGAGCTACCTGCAGCTTTGACCGGTTCCAAACAGGTGAGACCGAAGAGGGAGGGGTGGAGGACCAGGTACACTACAGGTGACTTCTTCCTGGGATCCAGCAGGGCAGGAAGGATTCCCTTCCTTATCAAGGACTTCAGTGGTTCACCGAATGAGCGTCCTTTCCAATTTACACTCACGAGATGAAGCCGGTGTTCAGTGAGTGAGGAAACAGCTCCGAATGAAGAGAAATTTCTCTTCGTAGATTTCTCTTTAGTTCACAGTCGGATGAAGGTCGTGCAGGTAGAGCTCACTGGAAGCCTACATCTGCTGGAGAAGCTGAGCTGCTCGAACAACGGCAGATTTTAAGAAGATCTGGAAGCATGTACCTGCAGAATCATCACACTGGACTCGTTGGGGAATGATTTCTGGATTGCACATATATTGTCTCTCACTCGGGTAACGAGACTGGAAACGCCCGCCTCAGATGCACGGCACACATCAGGCCCCAGGTGTGTAGGAAGAGACCCACAGGCATGGGTCTCGCAAGGCATATGGCTTTTCGTTCTTGGAACTGGTTGCTATGGCTGATGGTCCTTGCACGTTCCGAAGCATCCTCGTATGTGAATGAATCCTCCAACTCCACTGCCCAGCAGGCACCTGATGCTCGGTTTGCTGCTTCCAGCTCAGACCCAGATGAAAGAATATCTGTGTTTGAATTGGATTATGACTATGTTCAAATTCCCTATGAGGTCACCCTCTGGATATTGCTTGCATCTCTTGCAAAGATCGGTAAGTCCTCAAATATATGTTTAAGGGGGATTACTTCTTATCCCATATGAAAATCTCTTATAGACAGCCGATGGGTCAAGCAGATATTAACCGTTGCTTGTAGTGCATTAAAATCATATTCCCTGAAATCAGGAGAAAGCCGTGGCTGTTTAATGCTTCAGGACTGCATTTGAAATTTAAATGCATATGCCTACACCATTCATTGTTTTGTTTTTGTAATTCGAGAACACAGTCATGTGACTTATCTGTCATATAAAAATCTAATGCTCCATGCTTAAAAGAATATAAAATGTAACGTGTACAGAGCTTGGGGAATGCCAGAGATTGAATAATATTTCTTTATGTAACATGATCTTCCTTCATTCCTAGCCATGTGCTGTAATTTGTCAATAGCTTTGGTTGTTTATTCTTTCCAACAGACTCATGTTTCTTGCAAAGTGACAGGAAGCAAGGAGAAAAATAACCACAGGCAACTCTTAACACCCCAGCAATGGGGTGCGAGGTATACGAGCCAATATCTGCCCGTAAAGTATGGCTTGCCTCCTAACTCAGATGGAGCTGCCAGCCGCCCTGCTTTCCTCTGTGCGTGGAAGGGAGCTCCAGTGAATGCGTTGAGCTCTAGTCAAGTGTTCTTCCTTCAGAAGCCACAGTAGTGGTTCACGTTCTACCACCAATGTGCACCGCTCTCTCCTTAAAACTGCTTACTCCAAAGTCGAAAACCCATACAGTTATGCCAGTTACTGCATACACTATTGCCTTTGCCTTCTCTATGATAAGCTGTAGATAGTTTGAGTGCACAGATTGCCTTGTTGATGTAGAATCTTTCAAACATCTCCGCATATGTACATGTATAAACATACATTGGTACGTGTACATGCATATATATGACAAATGTGAAATGTAGGTTGAGCCACGTGTAGTCTGTAGTGAATATTTACAGGCTGTCTGTTTCTGTAACTCCTTCCTTCCCGTGGGCTAGGGGCTTGGGTGTACTTGGGTACCTCTTTCAAGCCTATGCCTCTTAAGCTATGAAAATTTAAAATGGAACAGAAAGGGCCGGTAGGGAGAAATCTCCTGCAGTTTGCTGAATGGTGAGCTTACGCCAAGCGCCCATCTTTGAAGGGGTGCGTGAGCAAAACTGGCGCTCTAGGTGAAGACTGTGCTCAAGCCAGACCCGGGTCTGGCACCTTTCATTTGGTGGATGGATCATGGGAACTTTCAAAGTTGTCTCCCATGATACTTTCGTGCCATTTGTAAACAATGGGGAGTATTATTTGTCTCCCCTTGTCCCTCTCCCACAGCTTCTCTCCCTCTGCTTGGCAACAGCTGGCAACAGCTGGCAACAGCTTGGCAATGGCTGGAGCTCTAAGGGTCCTTAGAACACAGAGCTGTTGCTGAGTAGCTGGCTCCTTTATCTAACGCTAGACATCCAGAAGCAGAGGGTGGCCCAATTTGTTGGTGTTTGTACATTTGCATGAGGGGTTGTTATTTGGGCATGTTGCATGTGCTCCGAATTTATTATCAAGAAGTACGAAGAGACTGTGGGAGACACTGTTGTTCAGGGGACTCTCAGTTAAATGTTACTGACTTTCCTGATGGTGGAATTCAGTAGGATTTCAGAAAGGAAAGTTACTGTAGGTTTTCAGTTGAAACATACTTACTCAAGAATGAGTTTATAATTGCTAGTCTTCAGGAATCTAGAAAAGTCTATACGCGGTAAGCACTGGGAACTGAAAAGAGGCATTATTTATTAAATATACACTGTGTGCCAAATGCTGGGCCTGACATTCTGTGTACTATGATGACTTGTTTATGAGAGATAAATAGTAATAGCAGTAAAGATGATAGTAATGATGATGGTTTCTAGTCTTTAACATCTAAGGAATGCCTATGAATATTCAGATTATAGGTTATGAATAATAACATAATTTTCAGCCTTATTCTCACCATCGTGTATTATGTCTGATTCATTCAGGCACATTTGTAGAGTACCCAGGCAATACCTGGAAATGAATGGGTTGGACCTTAAGGGGTTAACCGAGAACTCACTGGTCAGCACTGTGAGAGGAAAATAGCTAAATACTCCCTATTCCTTTTAAATAGCCAGCTATAAAACTATAAACACGAATTATAGAACAAAGATAATTCAGGTCACTTCTGACTGTGAGTTATCTCTTAGTTCCATCACAGTTCTTAGAATACTGTGGAACCGGTTCCGGGACCAATAGGAAGAACAGCATTGAAAGTTGTCTTCCATTTCCCAGGACCCGAGTGTTTCTTCCCACTTCCGTTCAAGCACTGGGGTTATAAAGATGGAAAGTGACTGACTTTGTGAAATCTGCTCTCCTTCCCCAAGGGGGACACATGATTTAAAGTGTAAAATGCTTTAAGCACTTCCTATTGCAATGTGACAAGCCTGTGGCCTGTATCTGCCACAACTCTGCAGACTCATTCTGCCTTAAGGCAGGTAGATGCACTTGGAGGACCAGGAGCCAGAATGGTAAAACGTAGGTCCCGAGAAAACACACAGGCTCTTCCAGTTCTACGGCATAAATTAAAAGTTAAGTTTGATTAAAATAAACACGAATTGAGAGACAAAAATAAGGAGGGTGAAGAAGAAAATAAGAAGGCTAAAAATGTGATTAGCAAACTGAGAACCCAGGCTTTAGAAGGCCCTCAACTGGTCTGGACACCAGCAAAGCCTAACTGACAGTATGAGTCACATCCTTTGGTGATAACTTTGCTCAATTGTATCAACCTGTATACATACACACACACACACACACACACACACATACACACACACACACACACATATATGTACACACATGTACGCAGACACACCCCATACTCTCATATGCATATATATCTTGGAGCAGTTCAAAGTAGTTCTGAGGAAGACCCACATCTTCTTTTTATAAAGCTAAATATAAAACTCTCCAAGGAGACATTCACTGGTTCTCCAAAGCCTCTGGAAAAAAATCTACCTTAGGTAATTTAGAAGCCAAGCTCCCTGTTAGACGGCACAAAACCATCTTCCAGTTTTCCTTAATAATCTTACTAATTGATACCTTGTTGAAGCCAGGTGGCATCTCTCAATGAGGGAGCAAAGTGTCTGTTAGGACACTTTTCTTTTCCTTTTTCTACCTCTCTCTCTCTCTCTCTCTCTCTCTCTCTCTCTCTCTCTCGTCTTGAAGCTCCCTCCCCTCACTTAAAATGCTTCTCATTCTATTACACAACTGTGCCTATCTCAGCCATTTCCCAAGGCACCCAGTTCCTTCCATATGAAAGCATCTCTGATGAACATTTAGCCCATTCATTCATTTATTCATTCATTTAAATACTTTGAGACCCAGCTGTTACACAGCTTAGCTGCTGATATTTGTTAAGCACTGTAATGATGTAAACTGGTAAGCAATATAATGATGTAAACCATTTCCTGAAGTTTGGGAGAATTTGCACTCAAGTACAGATAAGTCATGCACAAAAGTGGGAGATAAGCATCACTGTTACTCAACAAGCATCGGAGAGATAAATTGTTTTGATAAAACATTAATTTTTGAGGAAGACATATTAATTCCTTTCGTGGGGAGTTGGAAAGAGTTAGCCTCGAATTCTGAGCAGGACCCAGAGACAAAGGAAAAGGACAATTTAAGCAGGGAAAACAGCAACAAGACAGGAAAGGAGCCTGCTGGCAAAGGATTTTGATTGGCTGTATTGAAGGATGGAGGCGCTTGAGGCAGGGGGTGTGGCTTGAGGACCCCATGATGATCTTCTGATTGCTGATGTCTTTGCATTTATTGAATATTTTATGTACATATTACTAAAGTCTCATTGGTCATATTATTTCTATCTTCTTATTTATTTGTGTCTTACCATTAAAAATTTGCCAACTGTGGGAGATGCCATATAATTTACATCTTTGACTTTCTACCTCAATAAAGTCAGTAGTATGTTTTTCTTTACAGAAGAGTGCTTAAATACCGCTAGTTTACAATCCATACAGTGCTCTGAGTGCTCTCCACATCTTAGGTGGAACTGAGACAGTAAGATGAACAGAGTCAGAGACTATAGCTTCTTCAACCTTCTTCCCACCTCACACACACTTGTACACTGGAATTCAGGGTCACGAAAAGCTTAGTAGCAACAATAACAGAAAAGGTTCCTGAAGAACTGGCCAGCAATCAATCCAGAAATCAAGTGTGTAATGAGATCAGGGTGTTTTTGTGCGTGCTTGATCATGTTGCGTCACGAGGTCTCCACGCAGCCTTGGTTGTGAGCATGCAGGGTGTGCACAACTGCTCACACAGGGGCCACTGCCTCGAACGCTCGGTTCTTACTTGAGGCTGCTGTGCACTGTGGACCACAGTGTTGCGCCTTAGTTCCACATGACAGTTTCTGAACGGGTAGAAACGCCATGGTGTAGTATAGAAAAAAACAAAACAAAACAAAACACTTCTGATACTTTTTGACCATCATCCCTAAACACGTTAAATTCCTCCGGCTTCGAATTATGTTGTGTTTAGATGCTTGGCTTTAAAATTGCTATTTGAGTTACTAACAGGAATTCTATATATAAAATAAAATTTAAATGCATTTTGGCTTCGGATTAGAGCAAAATTTACCATCATTTCTGAAATATCTTTATGCCTTTTAGTGTATATTTATACAAAGTGACATCAGAATTGATAATTATAATATTTCCATTTTAGCTAATTTTTTTTTTAGTATTTCCTACATGCATGTATAGCATTTAGATCATATTCACCCCCACTCACCTCTCCCAACTCTTCCTGGATAACCCTAAGTCTGCTTCCCAGATTCATACACCCCTGATTCCTTCTCTTCTAGCAGCCATTTACTCTCGATAGCTCCTCTGCTAGGCACGGGTCTAACGTGTCCCTTCCCCACCCACCCATTCTAGAATGTTGGCTGCCTTGATATTGGGCATGTCTTGGGCCAGAAAGCACAGTTCCTGTGACGTCACAGGCACAATGGTGTTGTCAGTAAATGTTTTACCTGTCTTATAGCACATCCTTTGACATGAGAAGATTCATAGATTTTAGAGGGACGTTTAAGATCCAAACTATAGAAAAGCTATGCTGCAACCAATAGCCTGAGAAATATAAGGACCTAAATAAAGGCTCTGGAGGTAGAAATGGAGAGGAAGGGATGGACTTTAGGGACAGATAAGGAGAAGAGTGATGGAGGAAATCTGGGTTGATTACATAATTGATAAAACCGACAAGGGTCATTCATAAGAATGTGACCCTATTTTCTTCTTCCATGGGTCCAGTTGGCAACATTATTAAGTTAAGAGGGAAGACAAAATTCAGAAGTTTTATTTCTGTGCTGTGGAGTAAGCATGGAATAAGAAGAGATCTCGGAACTGGTCAGATTCCAAGTGAGCTATGCACTGGGTGACGCATGCGTGTACGCTTTTCACACCCACTTCTCCCCTTCCCCCTCGTGAGTCTTTTGGTACCCTTATAAGAAGCAGGAGGCAGGGAAGCAGCGGGACCACAGGCCGTTCCTGGTGGCAGTGACGTTAATCTAGGTGACACTCCCAAGTTCCTGCAGCAGATGCGATACCCACCTCAGAGCCGCCAGCCGCTTATGCACCACCCCACCCTACTGTCTCTCCATGTAGCCTGGTTCATTGGCAAAGATTAATGTCCGGTCTTCTGTGTGCCCAGGTTTCCACCTTTACCATAAGCTGCCCCACCTCATGCCAGAGAGCTGCCTCCTCATCATCGTGGGCGCGCTGGTGGGTGGCATCATCTTTGGCACCCACCACAAATCGCCTCCAGTCATGGATTCAAGCATTTACTTCCTGTATCTCCTTCCGCCCATCGTGTTGGAGAGCGGCTACTTCATGCCCACGCGGCCTTTCTTTGAGAACATTGGCTCCATCCTGTGGTGGGCAGGCCTGGGGGCCCTGATCAATGCCTTTGGCATTGGTCTCTCCCTCTACTTCGTCTGCCAGATCAAAGCCTTCGGCCTTGGCGACATCAACCTGCTGCAGAACCTGCTGTTCGGTAGCCTGATCTCGGCGGTGGACCCCGTGGCCGTCCTGGCTGTGTTCGAGGAGGCTCGCGTGAACGAGCAGCTTTACATGATGATCTTCGGGGAGGCCCTGCTCAATGACGGAATCAGTGTGGTGAGTCACCCAGATCGCGTCCCGGAGGGGTGGGGCTGGGGTGGCCGCAGCGGTCAGGGCTGCCTTGCCTCTCCTTGTCATGGTTGTGACCTAAATTCTGGTAACATTTCCAACGGATCCACTTTCTGTATCTGACTTCTCATTAGTTGCTTTAAAGAGAGAAAAGAAATAGAAAATACATAATTCAATTTACCTGTCAATTCAAGGATTTTTTTTTTATTTATCGTGGAGAAACTATTATTTACAGCCAATCTTGGTATTCTTGTTGGTCTAGACAATACCTTTGTTTTTTAATACATGTCTATATGTATATTTGCGCACACACATATCATGAGACACTAGATGAAGTTAAAATAAAATTCCTCTGGTCATTGAGACATGCATACATACGCTCCTGCACAGATGCAGATGCATAGTGTCTTGGCAAACACCGAGAGATCACATTCCATATGTGTTGCTGTAGCCATCCCGGGTCCTTGCATGTCTCCTCAGCTGTTACACAGTGCTTTGTAGATGAACAAAGTTAATTAACACAATTAACAAAGTTAATTAACACAATACGTTAACACAATTTATTTTACAGTTTCCTCTGTGGGTGATTATTCCCATGGTTTCTATTTTTTTATGTAAATAATGTTGCAATAAATAAGCTTTATTTCTTCCTGGAATTATTTTTGCATTTGGGACTATCTATAAACAATATTTTGTCAGTAATGAAATTTCCAAGTTAAGCAGTATATAGATTTAAAACTTGATACATGTGGCTATTTTAATCACTTCCTATTTACCCCATTGGCAAAAGAGAGGCTACCACCCTAGAGTTGTGGGGATGGGCAAAGACATTATACCTGTGTCTTAGTTCCTTTTCCATTGCCGTGGCGAAACACCAAGGCCAAGGCTGTGTAAAAAAAAAAAAAAGCATTTAATTGGGTTGTGGTTTCAGAGGGTTGGAGTGCATGACAGCCGAGCAAAGGAAGCTGAGAGCTGATGTCTTGATCCTTAGGTAGGAGACAGAGAGTATAGTGAGAATGGAGTAAGTCCTTTGAGACCCCAAAGCCCACGCCCAGAGGCACACTTCTTCCAAGCAGACTGCACTTCTTAATCCTTAAGCTGTTCCACCAACAGGGGACCAAGGATTCAGACATATGACCTTATGGGGGCCATTCTCACCCAAAGCAATACAACCTAAAACTGTGCAGATTGCTCCAACTGCAGGTGATTAGAAAGTATAAACCCAGTCCCAGGGAGTAGGGGCATCAAGTAAGATCCCCAAACCACACCGAGTGCCCTAGGAAAAGAACACACCAGCAGAGGTTAAAGGAGGCAGGCATGAGGCTTAGAGATTGAAGGGAGCAGGGCTGGAGAAGGCAGGTGGGAGGCTGGAGCTACTCTGCTCCTCAGTGATGCGTTTGAATTGCATGAAGAATTTTGCAGACTAGCAAGGGAATGTGAGGGAGCACCGCCTGGCAGTTGTGCTCAGAAGACTTGGCTGGTTGGGACTGTTAAACGTGAAGCAACGGGGTTAAGAGGAATTTGCAGCTAGGCTGGGCACCTTTGAATTTTTCCAAATGCCAAGGTAACACATGACATTGAACTCGGGTGACCTCAGCCACCAAGCGTTTCCAGAAAGACTTTATCAGCTTTTGCTCATACAGATAGGATTGATTTCTTTAATTTTCCCAGAACACGTGGTCTCTTTATCAGGAGCATGATCCTGTGATAGGCAGAAATTCTTGCTGAGAAATCATCTGGATTCATTACCAAAGCAAGTTCTTGCCTGCTGCCGCTGAGAGCAGATCAGGTCTCACCCTGAGGTTTCTCTGACAGCCTGTTCAGAGCCAACCCCGCCGTGGTTTCTGGTGGCAATGCCATCACCAGTGACATTTGTTTGACTTTCTCGAGGCTAAATTGCTTCCACATAGATGCTTCTAAAGACTCATCATTTCAAAATAAGATTGTAATTTCTGAGTAACTGTAGTGCCTGCTGAGGGTGATGTTGTGACCTCGGCTGGGCAACGTTGCCATTGCATTGGCTCTGGTGGGGTAGACCACATGTTCATCTTTGGTCGCCCACAACACAGCGAGTATTAAGTGTGTGCTGGAGCACCACTGGGTCCCTAAGTGAAACCAGAGAAGCCCAGGGCTAGATTTAGAAAGCAGCTCAGAGCAACTGGTACTTTCTGTCGTCCAATGGTATTTTGAGCTGAGGGCTTTGCGCTCACCCTTTCATTGAGCAAAGAGCCTGCCCAAGGGGAGCAGTCACAACCCTGCAGAAGGTCTGAGTCACCCAGAGGTGGCCTGCGGCTTGAGGGTTACATGTGATGGCAGTGCAGATCTTATTTCTAGAACAGTCGACATATCTATGAATCTGATTCACCAAGAACGAACCACATCAGGAGTTCAGCTCGTGCTTTTCCAGTTATTCCTTCCTCTGTGGCATTCTCGGGCTATGGAATTGATGGCTAGGACAGACCTTCAATGGCGGACAGTAGGGCAGAGACACAAACTGTGCCCAGTAACCCAGTACTGCAATCTACACTGGAGATTTGCTATGAAGGGAGATGGGGGAGGGGAGAGGAGGGAGGGAAAGAAAGAGAGAGAGAGAGAATCAGTTATTCTACAACAATCATTTTATTATCAGGATGTGTCCATTAAGGTATGATATTGTGTGACTTGAATATTTACAACTTTCTTTTTAAAAATAAAATGTATTTCAAATATTACTAGAAAAAAAGTACCCTAAGATCACTTAATCCCTAATGGAGTCTTCTGGCTAAGATCCTAGAAGAAGGCATAGACAGAATTTCTCAGCCCAAGACCCACAGGGGCCAGCTTTGTATTTAGTATTTTATTAAATTTATGGATCTTATTATGAAGCATGAAAAATATCCTCCATTCAGAAGTGAAGCAAAATAGATGCAAGAAGTTAACATTTCCTGGGCTACAGAGCAGACCTTGGTGCCCATTTCTGGTCTTTCCATTTCCCTCCCATTTTCTTCTTACCTTTTGGAATTTTAACTCTGAGCTGTAAGGGAGAGGAGAAAAACCTACCTATTTGATGAAGAATAATAGTTGAAGATAAGTTACATGTGTTTATGCTGTGGAATATTTGTTTAATGATGCAAAGATATGCTGCATTCTTTTATGTTGCATTTGTTTAACTCTGTGAAGCTGTGTTATGTTGCCTGTCTAAAACACCCGATTGGCCTAATAAAGAGTTGAACATTCAATAGCAAGGCAGGAGAAGTGATAGGTGCGGCTGGCAGACAGAGGAATAAATAGGAAGAGAAATCTGGGAAGAAGAGGTCAAAAAGCAAGAAAAAGAGGGGAGGAGGACTCCAGGGGCCAATCACCCAGCTATACAGCAAGCCACAGAGTAAGAAGTAAAGAAAGAAATACATAAATAGGGAAAGACAAAAGCCCAGAGGCAAAAGGTAGATGGGCTAATTTAAGAAAAGTTGGCTAGAAAGAAGTCAAGCTAAGGCTAGGTATTCTTAAGTAAGAATAAGGCTTTATGTATGTATTTGGGAATGGGTGGTGAGTCCCCCAAAGAGCCTAAGAGCGCAAAAACAATTAGCCGCACCTATTAGTGATTGGACTAGGCTCAAGTTTAGTGACACAGCTGATCTTTCTCTTGTATAGAAATGACAGGCTTAGTGATTGTCACACAAGGCTTTAGGCAAGACTATTCATTCACGTCTCTTCTTGCTGTAGAGTCGGGATAAAGACATTCTTCCACTCATAGGGTCCGTGGAAAATTCATATTTAGCTTTAAGTACAATAAGTTTTTGGACTGGGAAGGGCATTGAGTGGCTCCTGTCTGTGACTTTCACATCAGCCATGAACACTTCTGGCTCACTATAGCTGGACAGTTAATTTTAAATATGGCTCACCCCATTGGCTATAGGAATAGATGTTTATTTTCCTATTTATATCTATCTATCTGTCTCTCTATCCATATCAACTTGCTGGATAAGCAACAGGTGATTTCATTCATGGTTCTAAATACCCACCCAATCTCTCCCCATCTCTTACTCTACCTCAGCTGGTAGGATGAAGCGCCACAGGATCAGGTCTGAGACCGAAACTCAGGCAGTCTTCCTCTGCTTTGTCTGGACCTCCTCCATCCCAGTTAGCACCCACTGATGAGAGGAAATGATTGACATTCTGCAGTGTGCTGGGATGCTGGGCTGGGCTAAGGGCTAGATGAAGTGGGTTCAGTGTACTGTAACCATGATCTTTCCAGCTTGCGATGAGTCCATTGAGATGTGAGATTCTATCCTATGTCAATGCGTGTTGGCCCAGTTCTTGAAAGAAACCATATGAGAGTTGGTGTATGAGGGGATATGAAACTACACAAACATCATTTTGGAGCAAGAATCTCAAGTCCGTTTCCTTATATCTGAAATGGGAAGGACTTCCCCAACCTGAGTAGGTGGTTGTGAGGTCATGAAATGGGACTTCCAGACAATGGTAGGTGATGAATAAGCATCCTTTTGTCCTTACAATCCAGAGGAAGATCCATACGAGATCACAACATTTTGGTGACTACCAGGCACAGAGATAAAGATGTAATCTCAGGCAAACAGAGTAGTGAATTCTTGCTTGGTCAGCTCAGGGGCCTGCGACTAAGTGCAAGACCTTTCCAGGGTGTTTCCAGCCCACTGGTGGCAGGGGAGGAATCAGAGCCGCCTACTGGGACCGCAATATTTGCCTTTAGAAATGTATTGCCAGTCAAAGTATCTGGAGGTTTATCTGGTGAGCTTGCCCTCTGTCAGTGAGACATGGTAGGACCGGTGTGTGTGTGTGTGTGTGTGTGTGTGTGTGTGTGTGTGTGTGTGGTGCAGCACCAACTGGTAGCCAGTGGCCAGGTTGGAAAGGTGGAAGGTAGCAGGAGCTAGAATAAGTGAGGGCTAGCCAGGAGATGATGGTGCACACCTTTAATCCCAGCACTCACGGAGGCAGAGGCAGGTGGATCTCTATGAGTTTGAGGCTAGCCT